GAGTGCGTACGTTGTGTCGTCCGATTGTCCTGTGCAAGACAGCGACACAAACAACAAGGTGCGCATAGACATTGTTTACTTGTATACCCAGTGTGTTTACACGCACACGTGTGTGCGTGCACACATACACACACGCGTGCACACACGCGCGTCCACGCACGCACACACATACACGCGTGCACACACGCGCGTCCACGCACGCACACACATACATACACACACAAACACGCACACACACTTGTACTTGCTCACTGCCAAAACTGGTCACGTGGGTCTCCCCGGGAGAGGGGAGAGAGACTCAAAAGGCATCTTAGAAAGATGACTCAATTGGCTATTGAACCGCCCAACGGCTGACACACCCTGAAATCCCCAAACTAGGGTGGACTTGAAATGATCCCACTTATGTGCTCACCTCACCTCAGTAAATGGGCGAGGACACGCACCCCCTCTCCCCCCCCCCCCCCCCCACACACACCCACCCACACACATACTTACACACATGCACACACAGATCTCTCTCTCTCTCTCTCTCTCTCTCCTCTCTCTCTCTCTCTCTCTCTCTCTCTCTCTCTCTCTCTCTCTCTCTCTCTCTCTCTCTCTCTCTCTCTCTCTCGGACCACTACAACCAGGACCAGAGGAATGCTATTTCCAGCCAAGTGACCCTGGATACGAAGACCACCTCTGCACAGGCACCACATTCATAAGTCCCCCCCCTGAGCGGTCGACTTAGACAGGCTTCCCTGTACCTGTGTATAGCATTCAGAATGTGAGCATTGGACAAGAAAGCACCCACCTCATCATCAGTGACGATGTGAACCTTGACCGACGGACAAACGAGCAAATCCAGTGACAACTGCAGAAACCAAAGAAACACAAACATAACAATGAAAACAGCAGAAAATTGACATTGCACTTCATAAAGAAAAAACATCACAACTGCTGACAAGCAGAAGCAACAACAATAGCAACGGTAGCATCATCATCATCATAGCCTTGGAGCTGTGGCATCACTTATGATCCACAGCAAGAAGGCAGCAATGCCTGTACCTATAGTGAAGTAAAATAAAGGTAACATATAAAATAATAATGATGATACTCAAGTCTGTGGACAGCAACTGTTTCGCTCTGTTAGAGCTCATCAGCACAGCTCAGAGGACAACGAACAAAAAAGTGATTAAAGTGATTAAATGTCTCTACTCACGAGTTTCATGCTGATAAGCAATCATCAGGAGACTGGGGCTATAGTCGGGGTTGTGTGGTCTTATTCACTATAGGTGTTGTCCCATGGCAGGTATGCAATGCTAGTGTTTCAGCGCGAAGGCAGTGTAAGCGATCAGTATAGTGTTATGCGGGTGGCATGGGAGTATTAATATATCATCATCAGCAGCAGCAGCTTCAGCGGAAGCATCCCCCGAACAGCACAGTGGACAGACAACACCAGGGCTACAGGTACTAAGTACAGTAAAAACCGGCCCTAACACTGTAACAGGACGCAGTCGGTGCAGCGGAAACTGTCCCGATACGACAGGATTCCGCTTGAGCCAGCGATGCACGCTCGAGCCACAGCACGTCGGTGCATGGGAATTTGTCCGGTCACTACAGGACTCCGCTTGGCCCAGGGTCCGGCAAACACAGGTTTTGCTGTATAGTCAAAGCGGTTGCAACCAATCAGCTGCAGTCCAGGGATGGCCTGTGAGCGTTTGCCAACGGAGCCAGATAATCAGGGTCAGTATACAGTACTGCACTCTCGGTCGCAGAAGAATTGGGGGGGGGGGGGGGGGGGGGGTCAGCCTCCTAGCCTAGACCGTTCTTATTTTCATGTATTACAGTCTATGCGCAGTTGAGGCACCGCGTATACATTGGTATGCTGTGCTTGATGAAATCCTAGCCTCGTCGTTCTTCGGCGCCTGGCAGTACAGTACCTCTAGAGGTAGGGTGAAGAAAAACGAACCGGGCCAATACCGACGGTCGCACAATGCACACACACACATACCTCAGCACCCAAGTAGGACTTGCTCTCTTGGAAGACGATGCCAAACTTGGACGCCTTGTCGAACGCGAGCTCAGCTGGATGTTTCCTGTGAAGTGAATGAGAGCAATGTAGCAAAGAAGAGAAAAAAGGAGAGCGGGAGAGAAATGGAATATATTCATGAGTGAATGCTTGAAAAAAATATGACTCGAGCTACCGTAGCTAAGCGGTAGAGCGTCGTGGGCCAAAAGCAAGGGTCCGGGCTCGAGTCGTGGTGGCGACAGCCATATTCTTCCAGACTTTCACTCTAACTAATGATGGGAAGCTACTTTGAGTAATAGCTATCCAAATGGGCGGGATGTTCCCAACGTCCACCATACACTAAAACTTTGAAGCGCAAAACGGAACAAAGGGACAGGACACGTTGAAACAGAGCGGGTGCAACGGCCAAAAGACAAGAACACACATAACAGTAAACCTAGGAGTCAGAGGAAGAAATTTGAAATGGCCGCTCACCCATCGAACTGCAAACTGGGCCATGTGGATGGTTTCACAGCCTGATCTTTGATTACATCAATCATTCGCTGACGTAGGTAAGACGACTTATCGGCCGATTCTAAAACACCAACGCAAACAGGCAAGTGAGTGAGTGAGACTCACACACGCACGCACGCACGCATGCAGAGAGAGAGAGAGAGAGAGAGAGAGAGAGAGAGAGAGAGAGAGAGAGAGAGAGAGAGAGAGAGAGAGAGAGAGAGAGAGAGAGAGAGAGAGAGAGAGAGAGAGAGAGAGAGAGAGAGAGAGAGAGAGAGAGAGAGAGAGAGAGAGAAAGAGAGAGAGAGAGAGAGAGAGAGAGAGAGAGAGAGAGAGAGAGAGAGAGAGAGAAAGAAGTCAGCCGGAATCAGTAACCATGTATATGCACTGAGCCACAATGCATGACATGAAAGCACTGGAACCCGTAGATTAAAACAGCATTCACAGAGCAGTGCACACATCAGGCATACAACTGACGAATGAGACCCAAATTGGACAGGTCGACAGTGAGAACACAATCATTTCGATTTCCTTTTCTCAGTGTCTGAGTGAGGTTTTACAGCTTCAGAACCAGCATGGTGCACAGCACCCACTGTATACCGCCCAATATTCGCGTCCCTAAATTTTCGTGATTTCTTGGAACCAGCGAGTTGACGATGGCAACTGTTCGTGAAGCACTGGGGCCACCTACTGTCGTGGACATGGAAATCCGGTCGCACGTCTAGCGGCCCCAGGACGCTGGCCATGCAGCCGTGGGTAAGCGGTACATACGCCCTGCAGCGCGCTGGTCGCATCGGATCAACGTGACACTGCGTGCAACGACAATACGTTCTGTACGCGCTGAGGGCGCCGGCCCCGCTCATCCGACTGGATGTCCATGTCCACGACAGTACATACACACACTGTTGGAGTGTGATTTCCCGCTGGTAAATATTCGCGTTACTCTGCTCGCAAAAATAGTGAATATTAGTACGTCGCGAATACAAGCCACTGTACAGTACCTGACTTTGAGCCATCGCCATGAAGGGGGATACCGGTGAAGAGCCGACCATCCGATGTCGTGTTGCCCTGGTGGATAGGGAACAACTACACACACCGCACCAGGCATGTCATCAACATAAAATACACGCATTTACACACACACACACAAACACACACAGACAGACGGACAGACAGACAGACAAACAGATGCACACAGCACAATGAGAAATGTTTGTGCCACAAACACCCCACACAACCACCTGGACATGGTTTTGTAGGGTGTTAAACAGTGCATTGCTGATCTATGGTCTGTCCCCACAGGATACCGCGATTCCGCGGACGCCTTATTGGTTATCATCCGCGTTTTCGTGAGATTTCGCATAAATCCCGCGTTATTCATGAGAATGTACGAGAAAATAGTGCATGCTTTTGAAAATGTACTACAAAGTCGTATGGGTTCATGAGTTTGTACGACAAAGTTGCATTCTTGCATGCGACTGCACGCTAAAGTTGTACCAGTGACAGATAACTCGTGCATAATGACCGCATTAACCCGCATATTTGCCGCATAATCCCGCATATTTGCCGCATAATGGCCTGTTTTCGCCCGCATAACTATGCGCATAATTTTAGGATTTCGTCCGCGTTATTCTGTGGGGACAGTATGGTTGTGTGGGGTGTTGAACAGTGCATTGCTGATCTATGGTTGTGTCGGTGTTGAACAGTGCATTGCTGATCTATGGTTGTGTGGGTGTTGAACAGTGCATTGCTGATCTATGGTTGTGTCGGTGTTGAACAGTGCATTGCTGATCTATGGTTGTGTGGGTGTTGAACAGTGCATTGCTGATCTATGGTTGTGTGGGGTGTTGAACAGTGCATTGCTGATCTATGGTTGTGTGGGGTGTTGAACAGTGCATTGCTGATCTATGGTTGTGTGGGGTGTTGAACAGTGTATTGCTGATCTATGGTTGTGTAGGGTGTTGACCAGTGCATTGCTGATCTATGGTTGTGTGGGGTGTTGAACAGTGCATTGCTGATCTATGGTTGTGTGGGGTATTGAACAGTGCATTGCTGATCTATGGTTGTGTGGGGTGTTGAACAGTGCATTATGGTTGTGTGGGGTGTTGAACAGTGCATTGCTGATCTATGGTTGTGTGGGTGTTGAACAGTGCATTGCTGATCTATGTCACGTGGGGCGTTGAACAGTGCATTGCTGACCCCGTGAAGCCTCGTGTACGTCGATGCCCTGCCCATACGCATAGCCATTGTGATTAGAAGCAAGAGTGCAAGTACACGAAGACGGATTGTGCAAGCCCGCATACGAGTTCAGAAAAAGCACGGCGAGGCGCGCATGTAAGTCTAGACACGGAGCGACAGAATAAACCAGGATTTCTTCACGTCAATGTGCAAGACTGTAAGCACCCATCTCTTCCCCCCCCCCCCCCCTTCTTCTTCTCTTCTTAACCGTAAAGCCCGATTCATACCTCATGTCGCGTACGGGAAACGCGTCGCGAAAAAGTTGATCTGAACTCAACTACTTCGCGTACGGGAAACCCATCGCGCGACGGTCGCGCGATGGGTTTCCCGTACGCGAGATGAAGTATGAATCAGGCTTAAGGAGCTTCAAGCCGGATAGCAAATTCCGTAAGCACCGCGTTCCCGGTGGTCCACCTTACCCTGATATCCGGCACGGAGGAGATCTTATGAGCGGAGCAGAGGCCTAGGTTGCTGTCGTCGGCACAGTTCACCGACGCCACTTTAGCCACAGGTGTCCAGGCTGAGCATCGGGGACAAAGACACGCGCAAGCACACCGATGGCAATACAGTAAAACTTCCCGGATCCGAACGTCCCTAATACGGGCACGTCCATCTACCGGGTACCTTTCTGACAGATCTAGAGTCACAAGAATCGGCATTTCAACGAAAAAGGCCCCAAAAAAACTATTGACGCCTCATCAGGTGTGCAAGAATGGACTCGGATGGAGAGCCAAGGATAAGTTTATAGAAAAGAAAAAGGACCAAGGAACCACAAGTTACGCTATAATGTCCACAACCACCACCAGTTACTAAACAATCGGCTCGTGCGATAACAGTGCGGTGCAAAGTTATTGCATGAGCTGATCGTTTAGTAACTTGCGGTGTTAGTGGACGTTACAGTGTAGTTCTTTGGTCCTTTTTCTTGTCTATCAAAAAACTATTGGTTGGCATAAAAATATGTTTACTTGCGCTCGGTATTAAATAGGGGTGAAACAATTATACCGAATACTCGAGTACTCGCTCGGTTTTTTCAAAAATAATCGTACTCATTCATAGATGGTACGGGCATTTACCACAGAAATCAGCAGTTTCAGAGCAGCATTCGGCAGATATTGATGTGCAGAGTGTGCGGTGAACATTTGTTCACGAGTAGAGAGAGCCCAAAAGACCCACGAACTAATATCCCCGAGAAACATGACTTCTACTCGGTTCAATCAGGGTTGTATCATGTGATTTTAAGGCCCTTGGTGTGCAATTTTTAGGAGATGAAGAATACTCGAATACTCGAATATTCGATCGGAGAAAATCAGAGTACTCGAACTCGGGATCTCAGTGCCAACTTTCACCCCTAGTATTAAAGTATGTAAGTTCTGAGTTGCGGGCAATTCCTGGTTACGAGCAGTGCTCAGTGGCAACCTGCCCAGACGAGCAGTGCTCAGTGGCAACCTGCCCAGACGAGCAGTGCTCAGTGGCAACCTGCCCAGACGAGCAGTGCTCAGTGGCAACCTGCCCAGACGAGCAGTGCTCAGTGGCAACCTGCCCAGACGAGCAGTGCTCAGTGGCAACCTGCCCAGACGAGCAGTGCTCAGTGGCAACCTGCCCAGACGAGCAGTGCTCAGTGGCAACCTGCCCAGATATGGGCAGTTTTACTGTATACATGAACGATCACAGAGGCGGTGCGGTGCGGTGCGCCTTAACCTGCTACAGTGTAGAGTGCTCAATGTCCTGCTTTCCGTTGTGTGCCTCACGTGTACACGTACGCTCGTACAGTCGACTTCGCTAATAACGACTGCGGATATAACGACAATTCGCGAATAACGACAGAATTTCCATGCCCGGAGCAAAGTCCCATCTAACTGTAATACATATAATGAGACTTCGGGTATAAGGACACTTCGCAAATAAGGACACTTTTCTGATGCCCCCGCCGAGTGTCGTTATACGCAAAGCTGACCGTACTCAATCACCGGACAGCTACATGTAGTTGTTTCGACCGTGTCTCTCTCGGAGCTCAGAGCTACCGGCCGAATCGATTGCAAACAAGTCTAATGAACAAAGGAAATGCACGCTTGCCAGTGCCTGGCGGCAAAAGCTGCCGGCGAGGCAGGCCTTATAAGGGAGTCCACATGCCGGTGACACTCGTTGAAACGTGGCTGCGGTACCAGAATTGCGCAAGCGGCGGCTCGTTATACATGTTGTCACAATGGCCGGTTACACTCGCCATGCTTGTGCGCCGAGCATGCGGCTGTCATCTACCACCGGGAGATGGCTGATACGGAGAGAATCATGCCCGGGGGCCCGCATCTCGATGTGCGCCAGCGGCCATCACGCTGACCAAACTCTCAGACGTAAGGCCACGCCAAGTTATTTCTATGTTTCGCGTCACCGCCCCGCGTGCCTTTTCCGGAAAATGTCCGACGCGGAACATGGAATTAACTTGGCGTGGCCTAATCGTAACGTGGGTGCAAAAATATCCTGACAGATTCTATGATTGATGGTGACTGCAACACGCGGCCTAGCACTGCTTTTCGGACCACATTTCTTATTGAACGCGGAGTTCACCCCGAGTGCCGTGTCGGGATTTTCTGGGACACTGACTACACTTGCACAAAATTATATCACTAGAGCTCCAAACGCACCTTTGACGTCAGTGGCGTGTGCTGAGTATATGGGAGCATACTGACGACAGTGTCCGCACGTGCTTGCGTAGAACTCCACCAGCCACACCGAGCTGCTCCTGTACAGCGCACTGGAGAATTCAGCCTCGCCACGCAGCTCCAACACATCGCCATTGGCTGCGTACAAACTTTCGCATGCCACGCGCGCCACCGCCGACAGCAGGAGCGGCACCAGGGAGAGTACGACTATATTCCTTGGCTCCATTTTATTAATTTTATAACTCTCTCAACTGGCAGATGTGTGCTGCATGCTCACGATTCCACGAGAACCGCCTGAGGAAACGCACGTCGACAAACTAGCAAAACAATCATTGTTCAAATCTGCTGGTACGCGCTGTAGATTTACGAGTTTGAACTGGAGTAATCCGGGAACCCTTGTGCCTCCGGCTAGACATGCACTGCAGCTTGTAATGTTTCCTCAAGCCTTTTTGGACAAAGATAAAACACGAACGAACACAGAAGATTAGTATCCAGTTTACTGAAGACAGCTACTACTGACTCTACTCCGACGAAGTCTGTTTTTGTTTTTGAGAACGAAGTCAGAATCAAGAATCGATAATGAAGCTGGCATATCGATCAATCGATCATCATGCATCATGTCAGTGCATGCAGAGCGCACATGCATCATGCATGAATGTGTTGCTATAGCGATCGACATGTGAATTCTCACGAAAATCCCATTATTTTGGAATAAAATTAATAATACACTGACAGTACATGTACCGGTACCTGCAAGTAGCTTTCACAAATACCAGGGCGTCAAAATACTTTGAACGCGGTATTTGACGACTCCCTAGGCCCTGATACATATAAAAACCGCTCTGTGAGCGGTTCTGAAAAACCTCTACTGGTGCATGCAGCCCCGTCGTAAAAGTAAGAAATTAGGACTGGCGCATTGTCCTCCCAAATTTGAACTGATCCACCTAAATCGCGATTGACGGGACCCGAACGCACCAGTAGCACGAGGTTCCTACCTGTGGATGCAGCTGGGGACGCTGGTCCATAGCCAAAGCCAAAGGTGGGCTTCGGGGTACTGTAAGTGTTGTATGGTAACTTGATCGGCGCCGGTCCATTGCTGTAATCCTGTGCCCTCCCGACCTCGTGCTGCTGGTGCGTTCGGGTCCCGTCAATCGCGATTTAGGTGGATCAGTTCACATTTGGGAGGACAATGCGCCAGTCCTAATTTCTTACTTTTACGACGGGGCTGCACCAGTAGAGGTTTTTCAGAACCGCTCACAGAGCGGTTTTTATATGGGTAATTTCAGTTCTTTTTCTGTTCCCTCCCCCACCCCGGCCCAGCTCCGAAGATAAACATGGTGAGCATGCGCGCGATGCACTGTATGTAGCCATGCGATTGCAGAAGCACACGGATACATTCCAGCCCACCTCGCTGCCCCGCACACAGACACATTGTGACAAACAAGCACATGCACATGGCACACACACATGGGCACGCACACACATACACACAGTGACACATACACACACAGTGACACACACACACACACACGGCCCAAACAGGAAAATTCTTGATGAACATTGTATAATGCCATGCAAAGCAGTGACCACCATACTTCAGGAAGTCAGTTGTGAAACAAAATAAAGGTAAGCTGGCAGCCAAAGCACAACATTGCAAACCGTGATGATATTTGCCTAAGGATTGCAGTTTGCAGACCACACCATGGAAGCAGTGAGTGCAGAATGATTGTAATGTCATACAAAGACAAGCAAAGAAGTGGCCACCATACACCAGAAACTTGCAGAAAGTCACATATCCAACAGATAGAGAAGTGAACAGCATCTGGTACAGCCCACACAAAACCAAGCTGACCTGATACTCGTCCGAAGATCGTAAGTGGCAGATCCTTTTCAACGATAGCATGCAGGTGTACGTTACACGCATGGACAAAATCTGACCGTGTCACCGGCATACATTGTCATCACATGCATACCCCACAAGTTACACACATGCACAGTAGCAGCACAATAAAAGCAATGGAAAAAATGAAGGGGTTGCTGAAGCATCTTCACACTTCAAATTCAGACTTCGATGTGGTCGTCACGGGATGATATACCTGCAAGATACAAGTGATGCAGAAAGAAAGCATAAGGTCGTGAGGTAGGCTATGAGACACCACAAATGGGTCACCTACATGTATGTTCAGGGCTGGTGTACACACACACACACACACACACACACACACACACACACACACGCGCGCAGAATTATCATCATCGAGAATTTCCTAAACTGAAAAGAGCAATGAAATCCACTTGCATGCACAGGAGCAATTTTGCAGTATAATGCGCAGCTCGGGAATACACCTGTTGGCAATTGATTACATTCCCACTGGAATTCCCATTCACGTGGGAGTCACAGAAGAAATTTGGCAGTGTGCTGCGCAATGCGGCATGACCTGCGATTCTGCGTGCGATGCAAACTCGCACAAAATACCATTCACAGAATCACGACAAGACGTAAGCGATGCAACAGCGCCTTGCTGACGTGCCTCCAAGTCAAAGCTCAATGAGAATGCGTTTGTCGGTTACAACTGGTACAAATGTACAAGCAATTTCTGAAAATGCTCCTGTGAATCCTGCTTTAAATGTCCCTCCTCCACTCTTCCCCCCCCCCCCCCCCCTCCACACCCTCAGGGAACTTGGCAAGGGTGGTCTTCGCGGTTCCCAACATCTATATGCAGTTTCTCGTCTCCACTATGTCTTTTCAATGGGAATTTGTACGTACCATAAAAGCAAGCCTAAAATGAACAGCACATTTGCCGTTCCTCCACTGGGGAGGATGCGTTCCACAGCTATCCTGACAAGATATTCCGAGAAGCGGTGCTGAGTGCAATCAAGAGTACATAACCCCCGGGGTTATGTACTCTTGGTGCAATGCATTGTGAAACTGACCAAGCGCATCTAACGTCTAAACTTTAATTGTAGTTCGCCAGCTGACTACTTTCAGACTCCATGTATGTCGAAGTACATCTGGCTTAAAAGTTGACACCAACGGCGCACGCACATAAGCAACGGCCACCTTACCTGTACTGTAGCAGTACTTCCGAGTTCCCGTATGGGAGTTCCCTCACTGTGTGTGCAATAGCAGCCTCATCGGACCAGCTCAATGCGACGCGGACAGTCCGACACTGAGGAGGGCATTGAAGAAGTCAGAGACAGGAAGAATGGTTGATTTACAACTCAACTAGCAAGGCTGCACACCCACGAAGTTCCACTCACCATTGTGCCGTCCTTCTTGGAATGCAGAAATAACGCTTCTTCTCGAGAACGCAGCCTGTGACAGAGAAAAAGGAAGGAGCATCGCCATCGACATTGGTCCTCTGCTATCATCGATTGCCGATTTGCACAGTTCACTCTAACAAGACTGAGGACGTTCAAGAACTCCCCATCCATACCATCATTGGAGTAAGAGGAACGGTCAGATTGCCCAGTTCCACCCAGCATTCCTGGATGCCAGGATAGATGTGCTGCCCTCCGCCCCTCCCTTCTAGTGCCTGGAAAGGGCAACATATGTGACAGCGTTCACCAGTACAGTCGGAAGAGAACATGGGAGAAGGCAAAAAAGGGCAACACACATGAATCCCTTATAAACAAGCAGTGGCAATTCTAGCACCAGCAATGTTTATTGTTGGACTTACATCCCAGCCATTGCCGCCGGATTCAGCGGCTTCTTCTTCTTCGTCTCCCATCTTGGAAGCACTCCTTCCCGTAAGTTCAGTCCTGGGAGTACAGTCGGAGGAGGATGTCGGAAAAGGCAAAAAAGGGCAACACACATGATTCCCTTATAAGCAAGCAGTGGCAACTCTAGCACCAGCAATGTTAGACTTACATCCCAGCCATTGCTGCCGGATTCCCACGCTTCTTCTTCGTCGTCTTCCAGTTCCCAGGTTCCATCTTGCAAATACATGTACTCCTTCCCGTAAGTAAGTGCAGTCCTGGCCTGGGTGGATGCGCAGTACATTGACGATGGCGGAGATGGAGCAGGTCAGGGAGCCCAACAGGGTCCCGAGAGCAGATTGCGGCCAAATTCGGGACGATGCTGGACGCCAGTCAGTATGAAGTAGCGAATTGCGGATCGCCACGTAGATTGGGGTCGCGGGGTCATAATCCACGGGCACTACTCGTACGTTGCTCCAAAAAAAGGGCACTGCACTGTTCCACAGTTGCTGTTAGCGGTCCCCAAAGGCCCTTGGTAGGCCGGTTATTGGGTCACGTGTCAACAAAGTGTCAACAACGTATCAACAACGTGTCGACCACGTGTCTTTAGCGGTACACTAATTTTGGTGTCCCCAAACTGAAAATATCGAGCACCAGTATGGAAAGGCTTTAGACAGAAAGCCTTTCCAATGTACGTACATGTACATAATTATTATTATTATTATTTTATTGCATGTCACGTGAGGGTTGTCTGTACTACAGCCAATGAGCGCTCTTGCTCAGCGGTCTGTATTTCTCGGTATTGCCCGGCAAGTTATTGCCCGCTCAGTTACATGTACGCGCATGCGGACTGTCATTCTTGTACTTTGTGGTTCGTGATCAGATCAAGTTTTTACTGTTCGGAGTTTCAAATTTGAAACACAAAACAGCAACTTGATCTGACTACAAACTACAAAGCACGAGAATGACAGACCACACACTCGCGCATGTAACTGAGCTGACAATAACTTACTTGTTCCAGCCACCTGAACCAGCCGCCTCAGCAGGTGAATGCAACCTTGACATCGATATCGATGCGTTGATGAGCAGCCGACGAACTACTTGACGAACTGAATGCGTTCGAGACGAAGTTGTGGAGCCCAACCCAGTTTCAGTTCCTGTTCCTACACGCAGTGCTCAATCACGAACAACAACACCATCGATATCGTAAAGAAATAGAGAATTTCAAAACCACAAACGACGTTTACCACTGAACAAGTGTGTCTGGAGACTGAGAAAGTCGGAAAGGTTTCACTCAATTTTCTGGAATGTTTGAGTATAAGCAGAAAAATTCGTCGGTCAATATTTTCGTCCAACTCCAAAGAAAGGGAGTTCGTCCGGTTGTAAATTTCGTTCATGGATCATAAGATTAAGAGTTTGTTGAAAAGCTGGACAAATTAATATTGGTCCAGCATTTATTTCGTCCAACAGCTCGTTGGACGAAAAATACGAAATTAAATTCCAGACGAATATTTCTGCTTGTACAGTAAAATGATTTACTGCGCCTCGTACACGATCGTACGCACTCGTACACGGGCAATACCGGCTTGATACATGACCTCACGGCTGGCGCAGTTCGGTCATGTATCAGCCGGTATTGCCCTTGTACTCGTTTGTACTCGTGCAGTAAATCATACTTACAAGAAGAAGACTAGAGAGGTTCTGCTATACGTGAAACGTAGAGAAATCACGTAGAGAGCAGGTGTCTGGGACTCTGGGTTAGGCTGTGTTTACATGAGAAATTTCAACCCGGGTCGAGTTCAGCCCGGGTTGAAAGTCTGTACGATAGACAAAAGAGGTGAGCGTTTA